GGAGGAAGCCAAATTGTCTCTGTTTGCAGATGACGATTGTACATCTAGAAGATCCCATCGTCTCAGTCCTAAATCTCCTGCAACTGATAAGCAACTTCAGCAAAGCCTCAGGATACAAAATCAATGTGCAAAAATCACAAGCCTTCCTATACACCAATAGCAGACTTAAAAGAGAGCCAAGTCAAGAATGAACTGCCATTCACAACTGCTGCAAAGACAATAAAATACCTAGGAATACAACTAACAAGGAACATAAAGGACCTCTTTGAGGAGAACTACAAGCCACTGCTTAACGAAATAAGAGAGGACACAAACATGGAGAAACATTCTATGTTCATGGTTAGGCAGAATCAATATCTTGAAAATCGCCATACTGCCCAAAGTAACTTTTAGATTCAACGCTATCCCCATCAAGCTACCTATGACCTTCTTCACAGAACTGGAAAAAATCGCCTTAAGCTTTATATGAAACCGAAAGAGAGCCCGCATAGCCAAGTCAATTCTAAGCAAAAAGAGCACAGCGGGAGGCATCACACTACCAGACTTCAAACTGTACTACAAGGCTACAGTAATCAAAACAGCATGGTACTGGTACCATAACAGAGATATTGACCAATGGAACAGAACAGAGGCCTCGGAGGCAACACAACATATCTACAACCATCTGGTCTTTGACAGACCTGACAAAAACAAGCAATGGGGAAAGGATTCCCTGTTTAATAAACGGTGTTGGGAAAACTGGCTAGCTATGTGCAGAAAGCAGAAACTGGACCCCTTCCTGACACCTTACACTAAAATTAACTCCAGATGGATTAAAGACTTAAACATAAGACCTGGCACCATAAAAACCCTAGAAGAAAATCTAGGCAAAACCATTCAGGACATAGGAGTAGGCAAGGACTTCATGACCAAAACAGCAAAAGCACTGGCAACAAAAGCCAAAATAGACAAATGGGACCTGATCAAACTCCACAGCTTCTGCATGGCAAAAGAAACAGTCATTAGAGTGAATTGGCAACCAAGAGAATGGGAAAACATTTTTGCAGTTTACCCATCTGATAAAGGGCTGATATCCAGAATCTACAAGGAACTAAAACAGATGTACAAGAAAAAAACAAGCCCATTCAAAAGTGGGCAAAGGATATGAACAGACACTTTACCAAAGAAGACATACATGAGGCCAACAAACATATGAAAAAATGCTCACCATCACTGGTCATTAGAGAAATGCAAATCAAAACTACATTGAGATACCATCTCACACCAGTTAGAATGGCAATCATTTAAAAATCTGCAGACAGGGCTGGGTGCGGTGGCTCACACCTGTAATCCCAGCTATTCAGGAGGCTGAGGCAGGAGAATTGTCTGAACCCAGGAGGCGGAGGTTACGGTGAGCCGAGATTGCGCCATTGCACTCCAGCCTGGGTAACAAGAGAGAAACTCCATCTCAAAAAAAAAAAAAAATCTGGAGACAACAGATGCTGGAGAGGATGTCAAGAAATAGGAACACTTTTACACTGCTGATGGGAGTGTAAATTAGTTCAACCATTGTGGAAGACAGTGTGGTGATTCCTCAAGGACCCAGAAATAGAAATTCCATTTGACCCAGCAATCCCGTTACTGCGTATATATCCGAAGGATTATAAATCATTCTATTATAAGGACATATGCACACGAATGTTCACTGTAGCACTGTTTACAATAGCAAAGACCTGGAACCAACTTAAATGCCCATCGATGATAGAATGGACAGGGAAAATGTGGCACATATACACCATGGAATATTATGCAGCCATCAAAAACGATGAGTTCATGTCTTTAGTAGGGACATGGATGAACCTGGAGACCATCATTCTCAGCAAACTGACAGAAGAAAAGGAAATACCGCATGTTCTCACTCATAGGAGGGTGTTGAACAATGAGAACACATGGACACAGGGAGGGGAGCACTAGATACTGGGGTCTGTTAGGGGGATTAGGGGAGAGACAGCAGGGGGTGGGGAGCTGGGGAGAGATAGCATGGGGAGAAATGTCAGATATGGGTGAAGGGGAGGGAGGCAGCAAATCACACTGCCACGTGTGTACCTATGCAACTATCTTGCATGTTCTTCACATGTACCCCAAAACCTCAAATGTAATAATAAAAAAAAAAGAAGAGTGATATAGAAAGTTGGTATAACCACGACTGATTGAATTATGTTTTCTCCCTTTTCATCACTCTAAGTATGGACAAATTGCTTTTATCTGCTAATGGAAGGAAGGAGCATTCTGTACTCTCTATTAAGGGAGCAAGTGGAATGGGAGAAAAAAGTCGTTTATAAAGGTAGGATCAGCAGGTCTTGGTGACAGATTATCAATAAAGGGTAGAAAATAAAAAAGATGGAGAAATCCTAAATTACAAGTTTGTAGTCTTTATATAGCATTACAACTCTTATACTTATAAAAAGTATAAGAGTTGTAATGCTATTAACAAAATAGGAAAGAAATAAGGAATTTGGGGGTAGGGGGCGGTTGTGATGTTGTTATATTCATTTAGTTGGTAGTAGTTTCTGTATTTTTAAAGATGTTAACAATACCTTGCATCTTTTTAAAAACAGCTTTATCAAGATATTTTATATAGCATACAGTTTACTCATAGCTTATAATCAACATATAAAAGTTATTGTATGTTAGTGAATATAGTATGTTTACATTGACCCAACTGTTACCGTAACTATCACTACCATATAATTTCAGAACATCTATATCACTCTAAAAAGAAACCTCATTCCCATTCCTACCTTTAGCCCTAGGCAACCATGAATCTCCTTTCTGCTCTATATACTTTTGTTGACATTTTGTGTAAATGCGTTCTTATGTGTCAATATGTGTTCTTTTGTATTTGGCTTCACTCACTGAACATAATATTTTTGAGGCCATCCATGTTTGTGCTTTTTTTTTCTTTTTTAAGACAGTCTTGATCTGTTGCCCAGCCTGGACTGCAGTGGTATGATTGTGATCTCTGCTCACTACAACCTCTGTCGCTTGGGTTCAAACAATTCTCTTGCCTCAGCTTCCTGAATAGGTGGGATTATAGATGTGCTCCCTCACAGTTGGCTAATTTTTGTGCTTTGCACTTTTTTGTTTTTTTGAGACAGAGTTTTGCTCTTGTTGCCCAGGCTGGAGTGCAGTAGCGTGATCTTGGCTCACTGCAACCTCCACCTCCCAGGTTCCAGCGATTCTTCTGCCTCAGCCTCCGGAGTAGCTGGGATTACAGGCACCTGCCACCACGGTCAGCTAATTTTTTGTATTTTTAGTAGAGATGGGGTTTTGCCATGTTGTCCAGGCTAGTCTCGAACTCCTGACCTCAGGTGATCTGCCCACCTCGGCCACCCAAAGGAGCCGCTTCACCCAGCCTTGTTTTGCACTTTTTAAAAAGGAGTTTTATAGCTAGCAGTAGGGGAACTCTGTACTTAGTATGTATGAGCCGTGGGTAAATTATACAAATCCCGTCAGTGTAGGAAAAAGGTACATATGGAAAGAGTAGTGATAATACCATAAAATTTTTTTTTTTTGGCCAGCCATGGTGGCTCACGCCTGTAATCCAAGCACTTTGGATCCAAGGTGGGCGGATCACCTGAGGTCGGGAGTTCAAGACCAGCCTGACCAACATGGTGAAACCCCATCTTTAAAAAAAAGAAAAATTTGTTTTTTATTGTTTATTCATCTATAGAGATTTACCTTGCTAAACATTTGCTGACATAGGATATCAGTATATAATATTTACCATAATCTTTAAAGTGAGTTGCTGAGGTAGAGATTTGTTAAGGAAACTTTGCAGTATTTAAGTTGGAAAGAGAATGAACCCAATTAGTTTCATTTTGAGTTTTTAGTTATTCTATAAATTGAGATTTTTATTTTACTATTTTTTTAAATGAATGTGGATTGTAAAGAAATGGTCATCTACCCCATTAGCCTTGATGATCTTGATCAAAACTAAAATAATGCATGTGAGTGACAGACCTAAGGTATAGATAGGTGGAAAGAGACAAATGATGGAAAAGGTGCTGTTGCCACTAAAAATAGTTTGTCTGTTCTAGTTCTGTAGATATGCATTTATTTAAATATTAACAGTGAAACAACACTTCATATTGTTGCATTAACTTGATTAATGTAAATGTGAAATTTTTAACTCCTTATCAAAACCTTTCAGTATCTAGACATACAGTATCAAAGCCCAAGTTTGTCTGCTTCATAAATTCCACTTAGTGTCTTAATTTGAAAATCACCCTGGTTAGAAATCAATAACTATTTGCATTTTTCACATGGAGTCACGCTTGAAATAAATTAATAGCACCTGACATAATCTGGACTGATCTGAGAAAAAACACAAAGTAGAAAATATATGTACATGCCTCCATATTTTCTGTTCACCTTTTCCCTTCCCTATTAGCTTATAAAATACTGTCTCTTGATTCTTTTCTGAAACTGAAGCAATTTAGTAATTGATTCACATTTAGTTATTTAGGGTTTAAAGTTTTGCTTTTCTCCAACACTGTCATTTGAAAAGAAGACTACAAATTGGATACTGCTTAACTAAAAGGAATGAATCCCTAATGGTAGATGTTTGTATATGTGGTGGGAAGGAAAACAGGTGGAGAGCAAGGAATTTAGCTCCTCCTTCTGCTTCCTAGCTAGAGTTAATAATACAACTATATTGGGGAGTTAGTCAAGTACTGTTGAAAACAGAATAAACAGAAAGACAGGTGTTTTCTCTTAGTCTTAGTAAAAGACATACTTTAGGAATGCCTCATTTGGGTTCACTTAATATTTGAAATTTGGATTTATGTTGATTGATTTACTATAATTTTCTGTGCAGTAATTAATGTGGGTGATTTAAAATTTACTTCATCACTTTTACTCCCTTCTCCCCAATTTAAATCTATCCAAAAGGATCTCTGTTTTATAACTGTGTGCTTAATAAGGAATTTTTTTTTTTGTTTTTTGTTGTCTTTTTCTAGGCTGTATTCATCACCAAAGAAAAAACTTACACCAATGCAGAAATCGGTTAGTCCATTAGTTTGGTGCAGGCAAGTTTTGGATTACCCAAGTCCTGATGTTGAGTGTGCTAAAAAGTCTCTTATCCACAAACTTGATCAAACTATGTCAGGTATGTCTATAATTTTACTTGCAAATTTATCTCTTTACTTTCTTTAGTCAAAAGCAATAAATGTCAAGCAATGTGTTGTTAGGAAGCAATTCTTTGCTTGGAGCGTTTTTCAAACTCATTGTTCATACCATCATGACAGTTTTTCCCCTGTGCACATAACCCTGTTCTATCATTTACTTAATAGCTTTTCTTAAAAATAGTGTTTTTATTTAGCCTCATCCCAAAGAATGATATCCATGAAATAATGAATTTTACATGATAAACTTTTTTCTAAGACAAGTTAAATAACTATTAAAATGTAAAATGTCTAGTATATAAAGTCATCTCACATTCCACTCTTTGGAGAAACTGATGTGGTAGAAAGATAAAAGTGGAGAACAACAGAGACCTTGTTCTCATTCTAGCCCTTAATTGCTCTGTCACTACATTATATAACTTTATTTAACTTCCGTGAGCTCAGTTATCTCATAAGAATAATGAGTCTTGAAAGGTAATTTTAAGAGTTGTGATATGAAAGACCCTAGCATGTTTTCCGGCTAACAGTAAGTGCTGAGTGAATGTATTTATTTCCCTCGTTATGTTTTTCTATTTGGCATTTTAGGTTTAAATTGTTTTTATGCTCTTTTGTTTAATAGCAGTCACAAAGCTGACAAAATGTGTCTGTGGCTATTTATGACATTTAATGTAGCATGCCAGTGTGGGCAGAAATGTAGGAAAAATATTGTTGATTTCTTCTTGCATTTCTCTCAATCTGTTTTATGACTTACTGTTTTATGAAATGCTCAGATAGTAAAGGATTGATGCATGATTAGTTGTTTTTTTTTTTTTGCTTTATATTTACTTGGCAGCTATATACTTAAAATTACTTATTTTGGCTTTATTATAGAAAACAATATGTGCTTTGTGGTTAGAGTTTACGCTGAAAATGAACAGAGGAAGCAGAGGGGAGACTAGCTGAACAGTTAATGGCATACAGTAAGGTGAAGTTATTTGGCTGTAAGGGGTAGTGGTTATTATATGCAAATAACTTATGGGGTGTTATTACACAGCTTCTGAATCTGGGTCAGTTTTGACACTAAAGTATTACTTTTCCTCAGTGAAAAGAAGCCCTTTTGTTTGTTTTGTTTTTGTTTTTGAGATGGAGTCTTGCTCTGTCACCCAGGCTGGAGTGCAGAGGTTGGCTCACTGCAACTTCTGCCTCCCAGGTTCAAGCAATTCTGCTATCTTAGCCTTCTTAGTAGCTGGGACTGCGGGCATCCACCACCATACCCGGGTAATTTTTGTATTTCTAGTAGTGACAGGGTTTCACCATGTTGGCCAGACTGGTCTCAAACTCCTGACCTCAGGTGATCTGCTTGCCTCAGCCTCCCAAAGTGCTGGGATTACCAGTGTGAGCCACCGTACCTGACCAAAGAAGCCTTTTTGAAAAAGCAATAGCCTTTATGTGATTTTAAAAAATATTTAGTATGACTAACAGCTTGTTTGTTTGAATTATACCCTGAAGTTTGATTTAAGTTATATTTATAAGAGATTATTAGAAATATGTAGACAAGTTATTTTAAATTTTAAAATAACTACAAATTTTCTGACCAATTTCTGACATTAATACTTAATGCTCCAGAACATTAAGTATAGAAACTGTCTGACCATATATTGAGAAATATTCCTACAGAAGGCGCATAATTGAAAGAAAAAAGAAGAATATTCCTAGAGGGCTGGGTGCGGTGGCTCACACCTGTAATCCCAGCACTTTGGGTGAGCCCAGGAGTTCAGGACCAGCCTGGGCAACACAGTGAGACCTTGCCTCTACAAAATATATTTTAAAAAATAGCCAGGCATGGTGGTGTGTGCCTGTGGTCCCAGCTATTCAGGAGACTGAGGCAGGAGGATCCCTTGAGCCCAAGAAATTCAGGTTGCGGTGAGGCGTGTTTGCACCACTACACTCTAGCTTGGGTGACAGAGCAAGATTCTGTTGCCAAAAAAAAAAGTGTCCCTAGAAAGTGTTTTTCAGTACTCCACCTTAAAAATAATATCATTTATAATTTAATTAGGAATTTTGATCATCCAACAATATATGTCAAGAATCTGCTATAATAGGCATGTTCTCAACTCTGAAGATATGGCAATGAATATAATAGACCAAAAAATCACCTACTTTTCGGAGCTTATATTCTTATCAGAGGAGTCAGACAGTAAGCAAATAAATAAAACTCTGGCAAACTTTTTCTGCAAAGAGCCAGATAACAATTTTAGTCTTTGTTGCCTGTCTAAGATCTCTGTTGCAGTTACTCAACTTTGCACTTGTAACATGCAAGCAGCCATTGACAATACATAAATGAGCGGGCATGGCTGTGTTCCAGTAAAACTACTTACAGAAACAGGTGGTGGACTAGATTTGGCCTGAAGGCTGTGTGTGTGTGTGTATATATATATATATATATATATATATTTTTTTTTTTTTTTTTTTTTAACCAACCCCTGGTTTAAAACGTCCTAAGGAGTACAGATTATTAGCAATTGGGACTAGCAGCTTGGACTTGAGGGATAAAAGCAGAGCTGCTGCACCTCAAAAATAGCAATTTTGAACAAGTGGCTTTTTGCTTTATTGTAAGGAGGGTATTAGTAGGAGTGTGTAAGAAAGGCAGTTACTCTTGAACTATAACTAGGTGTAATTAAGTACTGCATCTGTTTAAGATTGTTTAAATTTTATAGCTGTATTCATAGAACAATAGCTACAACTATAAATACAGTGTATATTAGAAATACAAATATGTTTAAAATTTTTTAAGGAAAAAAAATTTGGCTTTTACAAGTTTGAACTTCGTAGTTGTAAATCCCCCTTTTCCCAAGGAGATTGTTTTTTAAAAAATACACCATTTTGGAACTGAAGTACTGCATTGCAGCAGAACGTTTTCTACTCCTTCACACTCAGCTTCTCTGCAGTGCACTACCATTCATTCATAAAATTTTCTTTATTTCTTATGATACTGTATTGTCTTTTTAACCCTCATTTACTCTCACTGCTCTTTTCTTTTCAGCCTTCTTTGAAGGTTCTTTCTTTTCTGCCCATTTTTAAAATGGTCATAAAATTATATAATACAAAATTACCTATTTTCACCCTTTAAAAATATGCAGTTCTGTCACATTAAGTACATTCATGTTACTGTGCGGCTGTCACTACCATATCCAGATGAACAGAACTTTTAATCATCCTATACTAAACTAAACTTTTTCATCATCCCATACTGAAATTCTATACTCATGTTAACCAGTAACTTACCATTCCCTTTGCTTCCTCTCTGCCTGTCTTTTAAGTTTAGGTTGCCCCACGTCTGTCTTTTGCTTCATCTCTTTCCCTGTTTTGGTGTTTTCATCTGTTTATGTGGTGTCTAGTATCACCTCTATTGAATCACATTTATTCATGCATATATTCAAATAATTTTTAATGCAAATCTCTTTTAAGTATCAGGCTTTGGGAAAAGGGTGGAGGTGGGGTACATTATGAACAAAAATGGACACTGTCCTGGTACTCATGGAGTTTTTATCTCATAGGGGAAACAATACAAATAATCTTTGTAACTAGTGATGTATAAGAAAAGAATAAAGGTATAGTGCTTTGAGAAATAGGAATTTTCCCTTATGAAATGATGTTTGACCTGAAACCTAAAGACTGAGAACAGTTTAAGTGTGCTAAGAAAGAGATGGAATCGAGCATTCCAGGTTAAGAGAAAGCCATGTGCAAAGGCTTCATGTGGGACGAAGCATGACATCTATGAAGAAGTTGCTGGAGAAGAGTAAGGAAGGGAGAGATGTGAGATGAGGCCAGAAAAATACGCAGGAGCCAGACTCTGTAAAGCCTCATAGTCCATGTTAAATGTTGTGGACTTTATTCTTTTCTTTTTCTTTTTCTTTCTTTTTTTTTTTTTTTGAGACAGAGTCTTGCTCTGTTGCCCAGGCCTGGGGTATAGTGGCATGATCTTGGCTCACTGTAACCTCCACCTCCTGGGTTCAAGTGATTCTCCTGCCTCAGCCTCCTGAGTAGCTGGGATTACAGGTGCCTGTTAACATGCCAGGCTAATTTGTTTTTTGTATTTTTAGTAGAGATGGGGTTTCACCATGTTGCCCGGACTGGTTTCAAACTCCTGAGCTTACATAATCCACCCGCCCGGCCAATTGTGGACTTGAAGAGCACTAGGAAAATATCGAAGGGTTTTCTGCAAGGGTGTAGTATGTATGGACAGGAAGGATGACATCAATTTTATTTTGGAAAGGTTATTCTAGTAGTAGTAGTAGTAGTAAGGAAAGTAGGTTGGAGAAGGGCAAAAATGTACGATGCTTTTGAGGAGAGTTGATTATGATAGCTAGGCTCTGTGTGCTGAAAGGAAAGTGTAGTAGTAAAGATGAAAAGATATGACAATAAAAAGGACTGAGCCAAATATGAGGAAATGGTGGACAAGAATATCAGTAGTGATTTCTAAGTTGCCAGCTTCTGCGACAGGATAAATATTGGGATCATTCTGAAAGAGGGACCCTTGGAAGAGAATTAGAAGTTAGTGCAAAGATTATGAGTTGATCTGATATATGACTTAGATACATTTCCCATATCCAAGGGGAGAGACATTAAATGGGTGGTATATATAGGTCTGAAGCTCAGAGGATGACTTAGGACTCGAAATATAAATAATGAAGAGTATTTAGCATATAGATAATAATTGATGTTGTGAGTATGATTGAGATTCCTTAGGAGAAAGAATATGGCAAGAGAAGATAAAAAGGCTTAGAACTTGAAATGCCAGTGATTAACAACTAAGTAAAAGAGAATAAACTCTAGAGCATATGGAGGAGGAGGAAAAGGATAGAATTTAGCAACTGTATTTCTGCACAGGTTGATAGTTCTAAGTTCATACTGTATACCTCATACTAAGTATATATAATATTGTTTTGTCTTGTGTCTTGTCTCATGGTGAATATGTACAAAGCTATACATGGTCTAAATTACTACACTGTCTAAACAGAAAACATATGTTTCTCCTACCCAAAACCAATACTTTACCAGTAGGCAAGCCAGACATTTCAGTCAGCTGATTTCTTTAGCAATCCTTTCCAGTTTTTAGTATCCATCCTTTTTTCCCCCCTTTTTTTCTAGTCACCATATACTGCCTAGTTCATTCTAGCTTTTTCAACATCAAGATTTCCATCATTTTTTCTCCTTACACTGATCCAATCATATCACCCTTGCTCAAAATCACTGATAGTTTTATCGCTGCTACTAAATAGGTTTCAGACTTCTGAGTGTAGTGTTTCAGGCCTTCCATGACCTGGCTCTAACTGGTTTTATCTATTTTGTCCCTCCCCTGTTCTTTACCATGCTTATCTGAACATGCTTTGCATTTCCGAGATACTGCTTTCATTCATCTTATAAACACCCATGAAAGCACAGACCTTCCATACTTTTAGCATCCTATCAAGTTATTACTCATCCTCTCAAGACTGTTTCAGTGCCTCTCCTTCCAAAAATACTTACCCAGTTTCTCTCAGTTGTACTGAATTACTCCTGACGTTTCCTTTCCATTGCCCTTTGCACCTTTATGATAGTACTCATTTCATTTTGCCTTGCAATCATTGTTGTTTCTGCATGTGCTACTTGGCAGCAAGCCTCTTAAGAGAGGGAGTACCATATCATATTTCTGTATATATTCTGCAAAGTGTTGTTTTCAATACTTGTAAATATTGAACAAGCTGTAGATATTGGAATATGAAGGAAGAGGCTGGGCACAGTGGCTCACACCTGTAATCCTAGCACTTTGGGAAGCCAGGGCAGGCAGATCACCTGAGCTCAGGATTTCAAGACCAGCCTGGGAAACATGGCAAAACCTTGTCTCTACTAAAAATAAAAAAAGTTAGCCAGGCATAGTGGCACATGCCTGTAATTCCAGCCATTTGGGAGGCTGAGGCATGAGAATCGCTTGAGCTCAGGAGGCAGAAGTTGCAGCGAACTGAGATCATGCCACTGCACTCCATCCTGGGAGACAGCAAGACTTTGTCTCAAAAAAAAGATTGAAGGAACAAATAGTATTTTAAGTGTTAATTTTTAAAACCCATAATTGCATTTCATATCTTAGTCCTACTGTTGTACTATTTATTTTATTTTATATGCATAGCACAATTTTTTTCTTTTTTTTTTCATGGAAGTATTCATGTTGGCTTTTTTTTTTTTTAAAGGATTTCCCAGGTCTTGACCTTAAACTGGCTTAATAATAGTATTGCTTTAAAAAAAACTCCAAACTGGCTAGGCGTGGTGGCTCATGCCTGTAATCCAAGCACTTTGGAGGCCAAGGCGGGCAGATCACCTGAGGTCAGGAGTTTAAGACCAGCCTGACCAGCTTGATGAAACCCTGTCTTTGTTTAAAAAAAAAAAAACAGTAAACTTCCACACTTTGAAAAGGCTATTTAAACAACTTATTTCATAGCTTTTTAAAAAAGTAATAGGTTGGGTGCAGTGTCTCATCCCTATAATCCTAGCACTTTGGGAGGCCAAGATAGGAGGATCACTTGAGGCCAGGAGTTTGAGACCAGTCTGGGCAACATGGTGAGACCTCATCTCTACAAAAAATATATATATATATTTTCGAGACTAGTCTCACTCTGTCACCCACTACAGCCTCTGCCTCCCAGGTGCTAGTGATTCTCTTGCCTCAGCTTCCTGAGTAGCTGGGATTACAGGCATGTGCCACCATGCCTGGCTAATTTTTGTATTTTTTTTTAAGTAGAGATGGAGCCAGGCTGGTATCAAGCTCCTGATGTCAAGTGATCTGCCCACCTCAGCCTGCCAGAGTGCTGGAATTACAGGTGTGAGTCACCGTGCCTGGCCCAAAAACTATTTTTTTAAATAAAAAGTAATACATTTGTTACAGGAAAATGAGAAAACATAAGTATGCTTTTATATTCGATTTATTTTTAAAGGTCATTCAGGATTAATACAGCAAGTATCAAAGAATAAGCTTTCCAACATGGTAGAAGTGAATTAAGTGACCAATAATTTGCTTAGAAGTTACTCTTTGTGTATTATTTTTGTTGTTTGGTGTGACTACCATTTTATTTGCATACCCAATTTAAGTTAATGGAAGCAATTTGTTGGGATTATTATATTTTTCCCTCACTACCATAAGAATATTTCTTCATTTAAATTCAGATAGATAATGATTTGATTTTTCTAATAGGAAAACTTTAGAAATGAAATGTTAACTTTTTCTCAGTTATTAAATTTTATTTCCTCCTTCTCATTAATGCAGCTCTCAAGAGGCAGAATTTATATAATAATCCTTTCAACTCTGTGAGTTACACAAGTCCTTACAGTCCAAATGCCAGTAGCCCATACAGCAGTGGCTTCAATTCTCCATCCTCAACCCCAGTGCGACCTCCTATAGTCAAACAGCTTATACTTCCTGGAAATTCAGGTAAGGAGGAAATGATATAGAGTTACTAAGGAATGTTTTTCAACTTACTGTACTGTACAGGAAAATAACATTCATCTGCAGTTCAAGTTCATTTTATTTATGAAACTTTTAATTGGTTAAAGAAAATATTATTGAGGAGGAACTTTACACCAGGTACTATATTAGGCACCAAGGGTATAAACGTAAGCCAGTGTGTTAAATACATAAATTTTCTTTAGCTTGTATCTGAAAGTTTGTAAGTCTGGCTTAATTAAATGGGGCTACAAATGTGATTCTTTTAATCAATAGATCCTTATTGAGCAGCCTTCTTGGGTTGTAAAAACTAGAGTTAAAACCTCTTTTTAGGAATTTTAATAAACGTGGATACTGCAGCTAAATAATAGTATAAGGTTAGATGTGAATGTACCAAAAAAGTAGGAGGGGCAGTAAATGATGTGGGAACACCAGATTGCTGTAAACCAGGGAAAGAATGTTCTGCTCTGGTTCTTTGTGTGAGACTGTTACTGTGTAGCTTACTCTTCAAGAACTGACCCATAAATTTACTCTTATTATCGCTGCAGCTGTTTTTATGACAATTATAACTTCCTTAAAACTTAAGGTTAACCATCTCAAATTTTGACCTGTGCACTCTGTAGTCTAATGATCCTGCTCTTTGCTTAGTATATAGGTTGTTATTTGCCACTTACTTCGCCTATGACGATATGTTAAAAAGTTTAACCTGCAATATTTGTTTAAGTAATTTGGTTTGGGCATTATTTGAACCTGACCTTGTAGAACTTTTCCTATCATGTGTACTCTGCTCTTCTTTCATTAGTAGTATAAAGATGAATTATTTTTTATTTTTCTTGATCTCCTTACATGCTTTTCATGTTGGAGCTGGCTGTTATGGTGAAGAATCCTGGAAAACAAGTGTTTCAAATAAAGCTGTATTAGAAATATTAGTGCCAGTGTTGGGATTTTATTATTTAGTAAAAGTCGATGAACTGATGAAAGTATTTCATTAAAAACAAGTTAGACTTTTTTTGGATGAGTGTATTCTTTATTTCTCTGGCCTGTTTTCTGTCTTCCTTTTGGTTTATAATGATAAAGTACTTTTAAAAATATATATATTTTTTTATTGCATTTTAGGTTCTGGGGTACATGTAAGGAACATGCAGGATTGTTGCATAGAATGATAAAGTACTTTTTATAAATCTAGTCTTTTTTTTTTCCATCCCATGTTTTGTGCATCACTACTAAACTTTAGAGAACTCCTTAGATCCTCATTAGTAATTTGGCAAAGGAATTTTGTAAACATGGCATAACATAGGAGAAACAAGCCTCATGGTCTTTGTTCCTAAATCTCTAAGGAATCTCATTTTCTTCAAATTATAGTTTTCTTGTTTAAAAAAAGTAGATGCTTTTATTCAGGGAAAAGATGATGGTGTTTGTTAATGACTGAATTTGGGAGAAGAAAACACTACATCACCAACTCATCTATTTATTGAACAGTTTGATTGGCTATCTTGTGCAAGTTGAAATCCTTAACATATAGTTACTGAACACCAGTTACTTCCCAGGCACTGTGTTGAAAGCTGAATTGTTAAATAAGAGCATAGATAAGTTACACTTAGATGAAAATATGTTTGGTATTTATGCCATAGCATGTAAAGTGGTATGTAGTAGTGTATATAATAGGTTCTCAATAAACCTCATTTTTCTTGAGGTCAATTTCTAATTTCAGGGGAATTTTTTAAGGAGAACAGGCAGAATAAGAATGAATTAAATCAAAGGATATAATACCAAGTTAATTGCATTAGGCGTTTATTCAATAATTGCTCTACCAAAGTTTGAATTTTTTTCTTTTTTTAAAGGTAACTTGAAAAGCTCGTCAGACAGAAATCCTCCACTCAGTCCTCAGTCCTCTATAGATAGTGAGTTAAGTGCTTCAGAATTAGATGAAGATTCAATTGGATCCAATTATAAGCTAAATGATGTAACTGATGTACAGATTCTAGCCCGGATGCAGGAAGAAAGTAAGTATTCTAATTAATTGTTGAGAGTTGATTTTTTTTTTTTTTTTACTATTGCTTAATTTTGTTGTGTATTAAAAATGTCTTAAAGTGTCGTGGGGATAGTAATGTAGTGAAAGTAGAAATGTTGCAGTAGGCACTGCAGAGGCTTAGTCAGCATATGTACATGTTTATTCATTAACTTGTTTTCAGAGTCCATTTTTACATAGAGCAGTTATGCTGTGTGAGGGGCAAAGAATAGTATTTATGCTGCTCTGCTTCTGTGACTGGTCTTCATTCTCTGCATGTTACTCTGCACTGGTACTCACTCTTGTAATTGTTATCTATTACCCTGTGTTCTTTAGTGTAAACCAGCCTTTCTCAATTTTTTCTTTTTAGTTGTTCCCCTAAGGAGCCTTTTAAAAAACTTTTTTTCCTTTTCACCCCCACTCCCTATAAAATCTTAATGCCACAAGATATACTCTATATATGTTTAAGTACTATGAGGGCCATATACAATTATGACATCTAAGAATTTTTTCGCACCCCAAGAACCAATTTTTGCCCTCTTGGGAATAAATATCTCCTCACTTGAGAATACATGGTATAAACTATAAAAAAGACCTTTAGGAGAAAATTGGAATTGTGACATTAAATTAAATGAAGCATGTGATGGTACGTTGCAGAGTGAACCATGAAAACTTTTTAGGCCGCAGATACCTTTGAGACTCCTGTAAAAATTATGACTCCTGTTATCACCAAAATGTACACATGCACAGAATTTTTAATACTTTTTAGAGGGTTCATGGCTACTTGCCCTGGTCATCATCTGAAAGTAGTTATTCTTGTCTATGCATTTCATTAGGAGATACCATCTGCTTAACTATGAAGTAAGACATTTCTGTAAAGTAAACTCTTCAACCTTTACAATGAAAGAATCCTTGAAATACATATTTTAGAGTCTTGACAGTTGGCTGAGGGTAATGAAGCATTGCTATGATTTAGTTCAAAAACTTTCTGTTGTCTGTGTATATAATAGGTTCTCTTTAAATATAGTAAGCTTTATCAAGCTGTAGCATTTATTAAGAAACTAGAGTGTTTCTTACTCTGCTGATTTACTTCCCCTAGAAAAATAGAAGGACTTAGTGCTTGCTTTATTTAACCCTACAACCCAATAGCATAGTACTCTTTTCTTCTGTAATTTTAATTAACTCCTCACTGAGACCGTGGTATTGTCAGCTGGTTAGGGGCTGGTTATTGTTGTGGATGTGAAAAAATAAAGAATGCTGCCTAGCTCTATACCTTAGGATAATTCTCTTATTTCTTCGAACCCTGGCTTTTTAGATTCCAGTATTTTGTTACAAGCTCAGCCATCTCTTTGCTCTTGGTTTTGTATTGTGTTTTGGTAACAATAGAAATATTAGTCTTGCTTTAACAATTTTTCTAAGCCATTCACATGCATGAATATTTATTTTCCTGGTGAATAAAAATAATAATAAAAATATATGTGATACTTCTTTGAAAACTGCAGCTTCCCCTACCCACCCCTTAGAGATGATTTTCCTTTTTACAGCGTTGTTTTTTGTAAAACTTAGAAATGTAGAATTACAGAGTTAGGCAGTTGCCTGGTCAAGGTCATTCATTTTTAAGATGAAAAATGCAAGATCCTATAGTGATTGTGACTTCCTTAGGATCCACTTGTTAGGAGAGCCTACATTGGGAACTGGATTTTTCTTTTCTAATGGTGCTCTTTTCACTGGTCTGTTGTCTTTTGTTAGGTGACTTTAGTGCCATATTGGCTATAACTAGACACTAAGTAACTTGTTGGTTGCTATTTTGGTTCCCAAACTGAATGAAGGACTAAGTGGACTCTAGGAATTTATAGTTTTAAAGATACCCTAGGGTGATTCTCATCTACTAGTTTGATGAACCATGTTAGTAATAGCACTTTCTGTGTGCGAATGCAGGACTTGAGGATTTGAATACCACTTTATAACAGATTTTTTGACTAGAGTGCCAATAGTTAGCAGGACGTGCTGAGAGTATTACCTAAATTCTATACTTCTGCATTGCAGTTTGTTTCCTCATTGAATATGTTACATACGAACTTTTTTTCTCTGGTTCTAGAAGCATCTATACTCCTTGAAGTACTCCCAAGATTGCTTGGGTATTTTTGAAGGTATCAAGCTATATAGGATAATTCTTTCAAAATTCTTACTTGAAGACTTAGAATTTAAGCTTGAAAACAAGCTTAAAACAATAGAAATTGAAGTCTCTTGAGTAATGAAGCAATCAAGATTTCCTTTGTGCCCAAGTACTGAATCCCTAAATGTGGGTTAGGTGTTTGTTTGGTACTTTATCCTTTTCATGAGTAAGATTACTTCAATAATTAAGTATCCAAGGAGTTTTATTTACTCACATATGTATTCTTTTCCACTGGTTGGATGGTAATTGTTTCCCCTAAATATTCCTTTGATATTACTCTCAAATTTGGATTACTATCTTTAGGGGTAGACATTTTTTTAAATGTATGATTCTACCATGTGAGACAGATTTCAGATTTAAGAAGAAATCTGGAAATTGGGCAGTGGTTTATGGGATTTTGTTTAATTTTAAAATAACCTTCAGATGTGATTTATGCATCCTTGTATGGGAGGATGTCTAAAAGCAGAAAGAGAGTTTTGTTTTTGTTTTTGTTTTTTTTTTACACTTTACACCCTATTCGAATTGCTCAGTGATAATCTTTTACTTTAAAAATATTTAAATGTTTAAAAATATAATTTAAATAAATAACATTCATTGTTGCCAGGTCTCCGGCAAGAATATGCAGCCACCACGTCTCGGCGCAGTTCTGGTTCTTCTTGCAATTCTACAAGACGGGGTACTTTTAGTGATCAGGAACTTGATGCACAAAGTTTAGATGATGAAGATGACAATATGCATCATGCAGTATACCCTGCTGTTAACAGGTTTTCACCATCACCACGCAATTCACCTCGACCGTCACCTAAGCAGTCACCCAGAAATTCACCTCGTTCACGATCTCCTGCTCGAGGAATAGAATATAGTAGAGTGTCTCCACAGCCTATGATTAGCCGCTTACAGCAACCTCGCCTTTCACTTCAAGGCCATCCCACAGATTTACAGACAAGTAATGTAAAAAATGAAGGTAAATCAGCAGATTTTACTGTTAATTAGACAGTTTCTGCTAGTCTGTGCAACAACATAGCAAGAACCCATCTCCAGGAAAATATTAATTAGCTAGGCATGGTGATGTACATCCATAGTCCTAACAACTTAGGAGGCTGAGGCTGGAGAATTGGTTGAGCTCAGGAGTTTGAAGCTATAGTGAGCTATGATCACACCACTGCACTCCAATCTGGGCAACAGAGCGACACCCTGTTTTCATTTTGAAGTGTCCTTTATGTTTTGTTATGAAAGTAATACAATTTTTGCCAAGCTTTTGTATTTCAGATAAGTAAATCAAGAGTTTAGTCAAGTTTACTATTTTATTAATAGTAAATCATTACAAGAATAAAGGAGAAAGTGAATTTCATTTTACTTGCTATACGATTTGTGGTTATCTTTAAGGGTTCTCTTAATTTACCCACTTACGGATCCTAGGTTGAGTTTTTTTTGTTTTTTTTTTTAAAGACAAGTCCTACTTGTTTTCACATGTAAAATAAACAGAATATTTGGCCTGGCGTGGTGGCTCATATCAATAATCCCAGCACTTGTGGGAGGCCGAGGCGGGTGGATCACAAGGGCAAGAGATTGAGATTGTCCTAGCCAACATGTTGAAACCCTGTGTATACTAAGAATACAAAAATTAGTTGAGCTTGGTAGTGCACGCCTATAGTCCCAGCTACTCCGAAGGCTGATGGAGGAGAATTGCTTGAACCTGGGAGGCAGAGGTTGTAGTAAGCCAAGATTGTACCACTGCACTTCAGCCTGGCAACAGAGACTACATCTCAAAAAAAAAAATCAAAATGTTAGATAAACAATATAATTTTTGAATGCTAATTAATATTTTAACTTTATCTAAAGAATGATTTGATTTTTAAAAAAATTTTTAATTAAAATTCTATTGCAGAAAAACTAAGGCGCAGTCTTCCAAACCTGTCCCGAACATCTAATACACAAGTTGACTCAGTGAAAAGCAGCAGAAGTGACTCAAATTTTCAAGTGCCAAATGGAGGAATACCTCGCATGCAACCTCAGGCTTCAGCCAGTAAGTATCCTTCTTATGCTTTCATGTATCAATTATTTAAAGAGAAATGAAATTTTTAGATACTTGTTTTGTGCTGAAAAATTTTTTAAACTATAGCTGTAGTAAAATTTAGTGTTTATTAGTTGCTGGATGATAAAGTTATATTACAGTTTTAAATTTTCTATGTAGGATACTTGATTCTGCCAGTACGTATATCTATAAAAAGCTTAGTTCTCTCCAGAATTTTAAAATAAGCAAAGTGTAACTATTAAAAAAGTAGCTTCTGCATATAGATATTAGAAGAGGAAATAATAACCAGTATAGTATCCAAAATCTGTGTTCCTTAGCAAGTACTTAAATTTTCTTTAATAACCTCCACTTTAAAAATACCTTAAAGTTTGATTACTACATAATTTTTAGAGTCATACTCAAAATAATTCATTGTTCAAACCTGCAGTGTATTAAATCTGTTATCGAAGTTGGATTGTTGAAGTTGTTCTTTTCTTTCCAGAACAGAAATATACCAGGAGAACTCTTGGATGCTCTCATTTTATTTCTACGTCTGTTGAGATAAACTTTCTAGTTTTGTTTTAATTTTCTGTGTCTGCTAAGGCTATTTTAATGAAAAATACAATATTGAATCAATATGTATATCAATCCATAACCTCATCCTACTTATAACATAGATTAAAATTTGAGATAAATTGCCAGAAACCATCACTTTTTAAGAATTGATCAGGACTTTTTTATTTAAATTATCTTTGAGAAAACAAATACTTAGAGTTTAAACTCTTAAACAGAGAAGGTCAATTTTAGAACTATAGTAGAAAAAACACATGTAGATCATAATTTTTAATAAGTTTTGGTCATTGGATGGAAACTAACCCCTGAATGTGACAGTGTTTTTATTCAGTTATGGTTTGTAATAAATACTTGAGTTGTTCTTTTGTGGCAAGTAGTACGTTAAGTGAATACAGGCACATCTGCTGTAGAACAAAATATACATTATTTAAAAACCTCACATTCTGCAGTATTACACAACAACAGTGATAGATGGTGGGGGATGGGGGCAATAGTGCTGGTGCATACCACTGAAAACCCAAGCAGCTTTCTTTGAAAGCATTAATAAAAACAGTAATGAGCACAGTTAAAGGCATGTTAAATCCTTAATAAATACCCTAGGAGATACAGAACTTCATTTTTAAGGAAAGATTTGAAGGTAATGTGATGGAAAGGAAAGGTTGACACTTGAATTAAGGAAACATTTGCAACATAGACAAAGGTTAGAGAGAATCATACAGTAAGAACGTCCAGGACAAAATAGCCAAACTGAGCCAAGAAGTAGTGATGTGAAGGTAAATGGGTATTGTGTATATAAATGTACAAGGTGATTTTAAAAGACTGGAACATTTTCAAAAAATTACTGCTTTTTGGCCGGGCGCGGTGGCGCACACCTGTAATCCCAGGATTTTGGGAGGCCAAGGCAGGCGGATCATGAGGTCAGGAGACCAAGACCATCCTGGCCAATATGGTAAAACCCCATCTCTACTACAAATACAAAAATTACCTGGCCATGGTGGTACCCACCTGTAGTCCCAGCTACTCGGGAGGCTAAGGCAGGAGAATTGCTTTAACCTGGGAGGCAGAGGTTGCAGTGAGTCGAGATTGTGCCACTATACTCCAGCCTGGTGACAGACTGAGACTCTGTCTCCAAAAAAAAAAAAAAAAAAATCACTGCTTTTTAACTAGGATAGATTTGAGCATGTAGTCAAAACAGTTTTAAATAAATGAATACTGTTATTTTTATGATCTTATAAACACTCAGTATTCATCCCATGTGTTTCACAGCTCACATCAGTCCTGTATATGAGCTGTGAAACACAAAGGATGCATATTCACTCGACCCTTGTAGGGACACAAGGGATGCTTATTCACTCAGATCTTTGTAGGGACACAGTGGATGCATATTCTCTCAAATCCTTGTGGCATATTACTATCAGTGGTTGAAGTGATAGCTGTGTTATGTTCTTTCATTTTCTCAAGGCTTTGAAGAAGAATTGATAACAAACGAGTTTATTGACTGTTCACTTATAACTTGTTTATTAAGCAATTAAAAATTTGAAGGTATTTAATCCTTTTTTCATGTTTATCTTTTTTTTTCCTTTTTTTAAATTGAGACAGGGTCTCACTCTGTCACCAGGCTGGAGTGAAGTGGCACAATCATGGCTCACTGCAGCCTCACCTTCTTGAGCTCAAGTGATCCTGCTTTCTCAGCCTCCCAAGTAGCTGGGACCACAGGCGTGTGCCTGCCACCATGCCTAGCTAATTTAATTTCTTTGCATTCTTCCTTGGCCCTGTTGTGTTTAGTTGACTTCAGATACTTCATGTTAAGCTGCTGTTTCTTGTGGCTCAAAAATCAACAGACTAACAGGAGTTTGAGACCAACCTGAGCAACACAAGACCCCCGTCTTTTAAAAAAACCTTTTTTAAAAAAATTAGCCGGGCATGGTGTCACATGTCTATAGTCCCAGCTACTTAAGAGGCCAAGGTGGAAGGATTGCTTGAGCCCAGGAGTTTGAAGCTGCTGTGAGCCACGATTATGCTGCTGCACTCCAGTCTGTTGAAAAAAAAAAAAAAATCAAGCTAGGAGAAAAACCGTATTTGAATCAGAATGACTTCTGTGATATATTGACAAATTTTCCTTATATATCAGTTGTGAATATATTACTTATATAACAGAAATTTATATTATACTGTATTTAGTTGCGTAATCTTATTTGATCCTTACTAAGTCTATGAAGGAGGTACAATTACCACGTTTTACAGATTAGAAATTGAATCTTTGAATGGCTAAATAACCTATCTCTGATCATACAGCTTATAAGCAGCAAGTTAGAATTTAAACACATGTTGATTCAGCTTGAGCACTGTATGTCACTAGGTGAGAGTCCAAATTTAGTGACATTTGCCACATCTCTGGTTTAGACCACAGTATAAAAATTATCTGGAAGTATAATTTCCATTTTTCCTAATACTTAAAATTCTGACATTTAAAGCATTGTGGAAAATTGTTACCTAGAGATTTGTATACCACATTTATTCAGCTAGATATATGCTAAAACCTGTTTTTGTAGCAAATTACATTTTAAACTTAGTACTCCAAGGCTTATCTGATATTGTGAACTCTGTAATTAAGAGTGCCATTATAATACTCATTGTGGTACTAACAAATCGTACAGAAAACAGGAATTCTCAAAACACTCGAAATGAAAGGAAGGATGGAATTTGAGTTTTATCTTTGAAATGGTAAGTGATACGTTTTGTGCCTTCAAATTAATTTGACACTTGAGAATATCCTGTTTCTGGCCTCTTTTTCCCCCTGACACATTTGGTTGATGCAAAAAGATACCCACAATGTTAATGTAACAGGAAAGAAAAATTGTAAATCAGTAAGAAGGTTAAGTAATAAAATTTACATATATTATAAGCCATGCTTTTCCAGCATATGAACAAATTATATAAAACAGTATTTATACTTGGCTTTCAAAGATTCCTTCATATTTAGTTTGAATTGTTATGTTCTCAGTTTCTCAAAACTTGACATGATACATGTCCAAACAGTGAAAAATAATTCTGCTCAAAAATAGAAGAAAAAAGAAAAGGTTGGGAACCTAGAATAAAAACCTTAATAGAAATAATTCATTGGCTGTGTCTTAAACTTCACACTGATTGCTTGCCTTCTCTAGTGGTAGAATTAACATTGTGTAATTATAATCGTCTGCTGATATCCTATAATTTTTTTCTGGAGGTGAATTACTTTTCCTTTTTCCCCTGAAAGTTGATAATTAAGGATTATATATAGGGAAAACACAATGGGATTCTAATAATTGATTTACTTTTAAGTGGAAAATGCATGAGCAGTTTCATACTGGTGTATTTAAATATTTGAACATATAGGCAGAAGAGAAAGTAAGGTACCATCTTTTTTTCAATTGTATGTACTTATTTATATTTGTAGCTATAGTAAAACTTAAAATGTCACATTTATTTGGTGTACTATTCTTAAAAATGTATTTGGAAAGTAGTAAATTCAAAATATTAGCAAGTTTAAAACTTAGTAAAGTTTACTTTAAAATGTTTAAAACCTTGTTGAAAGTTAACATGAAACAAAAAAGTGTTATTGATTTATCTTGAAATTTCATAAATATAATTGGTACATGAAAATATGTAAGCATTCTTTTAATTAGTATACATACTTTTCATAATAACCTTTTAATTTTGATATGTAATTATGTACAATTACAATAAGCTTTATATACTTTATACATGAATTGCTATTTTGTTTTTTTTGGGGTAAATTTCAGTTGTTAGTGTAATAGATGTTGCATTTTGTTTTAAGTATTTACTTTTTCAGCTCTTAAGTGGTAAAACTTTGGTTCTTACTTGCTGGTCTGCATGAACCTAACTTTGCAAGGTTGCTGTTACTTCCACCTAAGGGATCACTTCTTTTGCCTTGTTACTATGCCAATCACTGTTTTTATATGCTTATTTGCTGTGGCTGCATTATTGTGGATGCTGGCATTCAAATATGAGTTTTATGAGAGTTCTAACATATTTTCATTTTTATAACTATTGCCAGGCGTTTTTGACTTTTATATCTGGAAAATATAACTTAAAAAGTTTAAGAAAACCAGAGCATTGCAGAGGTCATGGATACGCGTCAGTTTCTTAGTTTCATATTAAAGGAAGTAATGTTTGCCAGAAGCAGTTTTTCAAAAGGCTAATAATGCCTTGCTTTCTAAGACTGTTAGAGCACAGGTTTAGCAGAAAGTTTAGTTTTCAGAACATCATAGGAATAATTGGTTGAGAAATAAGGGAAGGGAGAAAACCTGAACACAATCTACTGATTTTAAAAATAATACCCAAATTTTGTTATTTTTTTGGAAATGTTTAAGGTACTTTCATACATATTATCTCATTTAAACCTCACAAATCATTTATTTTATAGAAAGGGAGCAGAG